AAGTCTCTAATCTTTCCTTTCATATACTAGGCCCCAACTGTTCTTATAATTTGTCTTGGAGCTATGAGACGCTTGGGCTCAGACACCAGTTGATGTAAACTGAAGTTGCTCTTGGAAGTAATGAGTCTGTATAAATGTTATGCCAAGTAGGCTGGGCCAAGGTACCAAAAGCAGAATTGTTGAAAGACAGCACAGTGGGACTATGAAAAAGGAGGAGAATTCTGATCTCAGCTCCAGTTTGTGAACTGCATGAGAGAAAATTAATCTCAAGACAGTAGAAAAATACTACAGCTCATCACGCTTGGTTATATTGTTTTCTTGCTGTTCCTGAGTATTCAGACAGATTTTGTCTATTTCTTAAAAATGCTTCGAATCCTGAGAAATTACTGAATCTGTGATTACATGCCTGAGATTTCCCTTGGAACAGAGGTATTTATTCTCTGTTCATTTAAAGCAGGTCTTTCACTCAAAAAGAAAGTAGAAACAGTATCCACTGGCCTGGATGGCCAGCTGAGTGTGGGCAGAACTAGGATGAAGATCACTCTATTCAGACAGCTTGGCATTAAACAGAGATGAACATTTCTACGTGCAAGAAATCAAGGATCATTGCACCGACTATTTACTAAGTGTAAGTTTTCACAAGGATTTTTCATAGCAGAGTGTTCAGGCAGGAACAATTTAGCCACCAATGTAAAAAGTCATACTTAAAAAAGTCACGTTTGCCGTTCATTGTAACGTTACCGCAGCTTCCTCCATCTGGGGAGCAAAACAGTCTCGCGGCAGGGCTGACTGCCTCCCGGCTGTCTCCACCTGGGGCTCATCCCTCCAGCAAGGGAGAGTTAAGCTACTGACCTCAGTGAAAGTAGAAGCAAGTTCCTGAGAGAAAGCACTTCCAAGTTTTACTCCTAGAGTGCAATCGCTCTTGCTTTATTTGTAGCCAATATTCTGATAAAGTCATTTCCTTCTTCTCAGTCAAGTGACATCGACTTTGGCCATTTTCAATTGTTCTTTCACTGCTAATTGCTACAGCACTTGGCTGTGAACTTGACTCAAAATCATAAGAATGGGTTCATCTTTCATAAGGGAGAATTATGCCTTCTTTTCTTGTTTCTTAGAGCATGGACAACTCAACACCAATTTTCATTTAGTTCCGTGCCTGCCAATATCACTTTGGGTTTAATGTCACAACAGCAGGGACACACAAAGAGTAGATCTCCAGCGAAAAATATCCCATGCCTTCTTTCAGTAACCTTTTTCTTTGATTGACCAATCCATCAGGAAGCTTCTTCCTAAATCCCTGCAATACAAACAGCTGCCTTGCCTCAGTTCAAGTGCGTAGTCCAAAGATCAACCTAATGGAGGCAGTGACACTAACATTTTAGACTGGATATTAAAGCCTGTGTGTTGACTTGTTCCTCTTATATGTCATTAGGATCCCATTGTTCCTCTTTCCAGCAAACAAAGACATAAGAAAAACTTTAAATTTAGTGAACTCTCCTATGAGCAACTATCATT